GGAGCAGGGTGGACAGTGGACGGCTGTGAGGAGCCCGGTGAGGGAGGCTGTGAGGAGCCCATGAGGGAGGCTGTGGGAGCCCCGTGGACGGCTGTGAGGAGCCCGGCATCCGCAGCATCGACGGGCAGTTCGGAGTGGCCTACGAAGCCAACGTGCTGGTGTACGAGGGAGGCTACGTGAGCTGGCTGCCCCCGGCCATCTACCGCAGCACCTGCGCCGTGGAGGTCACCTACTTCCCCTTCGACTGGCAGAACTGCTCCCTCGTGTTCCGGTGGGCAGAGGCGGAGGGAGGGGGGGAGGACGGGGAGGGGGAGGACGGGGGGGGGGGGAGGCCGAGGGTGCAGCCCGGCCTGTTGCAGCTCCCAGAGCTACAACGCGGAGGAGGTGGAGTTCGCCTTCGCCAAGGACGACGCCGGCGACACCATCGACACCATCGACATCGACACCGAGGCTTTCACGGGTGAAGGGGCCGGGGCGCGGCGGGGGGCGCGATGGGGGGTCACGGTGGGGGCTGACCCCCCACCCGCCCGCAGAGAACGGAGAGTGGGCCATCGACTACTGCCCAGGCGCGATCCGCCGCTACCGTGAAGGCCCCGCCGAAGGCCCCGAGCAGACTGACATCATCTACTCGCTCATCATCCGCCGGAAGCCGCTGTTTTACGTCATCAACATCATCGTCCCCTGCGTGCTCATTTCTGGCCTGGTGCTGCTCGCTTACTTCCTGCCCGCGCAGGGTGAGGGTGGCCGACCCCTGCCCGCCCCCGCCCCTGCCCCCGGGTGGGGGTGGCCGACCCCCCTCGCGCTCCCCGCTCGCCCCCACCCTCCCCGCTCGCCCCCAGCCGGCGGCCAGAAGTGCACGGTCTCCATCAACGTCCTGCTGGCCCAGACCGTCTTCCTGTTTCTGATCGCCCAGAAGACCCCGGAGACGTCTCTGAGCGTGCCGCTGCTGGGCAGGTAGCGCCGCGGGGGCCGGCGAGGAGGGCGCGAGGGCGCTGCCGGGACGGCTTTTATTTGGGGCCGGGGTGAGGCCGGGCCGCCGGGGGGTTGCCTGGCGCCCCGTCCTCGCTGCTGCTGGACACCTTGAGGTCTCCGGAGCGTCTCTGGGGGGGGGGGTAGACAGCTCAGCCCCTCCCCACCCCACCTCCCCACCCTTGCCGCACCCCGAGGCCTGAACGCACCGGCTCCCCGGGGACCCCCAGGCCCAGCTGGCGCAGGGCTTCCTGCAGGGACGAGGTGGACGCCTGCAGGCCGCGTCCACACAGGCACAGCCACACCCCCTGGGCCAGGTACCGGGCGCCGGCGCCAGCGGCGGCTCCCGCTCGCAGGATCCCCTGCCGCGCGGCCAGGGCCAGGCGGGCCAGGGCCCTGCCGGGGTCCCCGGCGCCCGGGGCGTCGCTGCTGTCCGGCCGCTGCACCTCCTGCTGCAGCCACAGGGCGGAGACCTGCGCGGGGCAGCGCGGTTAGAGGCCCCGCTCGGCGGGCGTCCCCTCCTCCCCCCAGCGCCCCGGGGCCGCACCTCCAGCAGGGTGGCCCCGAGGCTCACGACGCTGGTCGCAGCCTCCCTCAGCACCAGCCCCAGGGTGGCCTTCTGGGCGGCGTCCGGGTCCGGGGACTCCTGGGCCTTCAGCTCATTGAACTTCTGCTCCAGATACTCGTGGGCCGCGGCCACGGCGAGCTCCAGGGACACCAGGAGCGGGGGCTGGAGGGCCACCTGGGGGGCGGGGCGGGGTCTCGGCAGGGGGTGCCCGCCCGCAGCCCTCCCGCTCCCTCCGCCCTCCCCCCCCCGCCCTTCCCCCCCCCCCCCCCTCGCCCCCCCCGCCCCCCCTCGCGCTCACCTCCGTGGAGCTGTGGAAGTGGTAGACCCACAGCAGGGTGTCCAGGTTGCTGGGAGTCCCCTTCATGGCCGCGGCGATGGCGGCCGGGGAGGGCGGCAAGGGGCCACCCAGCGGCCGGCAGAGGCGTTTGTGAGGCGGGAGGGGCGGGGGGGGGGCGGCGCCCCGTCTGCGGGCGCTGTGACGCCCGCGCGTGTCCCAGGTACCTGCTCTTCGTCATGGTGGTCGCCACGCTCATCGTCATGAACTGCGTCATCGTGCTCAACGTGTCTCTAAGGACGCCGACGACCCACGCGACGGCCCCGGGGCTGCGCCGGGTGAGCGGGCTGCGGGGCTGCGCGCCGGGGGAGCGGGCTGCGGGCCGCACTGACCGCCGCCGCGCTCCGCCGCAGGTCTTGCTGGAGCTGCTGCCGCGCCTCCTGGGTTCGAGGCCGCCCCCGGAGGCCCCGCGAGCCGCCCCCGCCAGGCGCGCGTCGTCCCTGGGCATTCTGCTCCGCGCGGAGGAGCTCATCCTGCGGAAGCCGCGCAGCGAGCTGGTGTTCGAGGGGCAGCGGCACCGCCAGGGCGCCTGGGCGGGTGAGCACGCTCGGTGGGGCCCGGGCCCGGCCCCGCGGCCACCCGCGACCCTCCGTAACCCCGCGCGGCATGTCGCCCAGCAGCTGCGCTCTGCCAGAGCCTGGGGGCCGCGGCGCCCGAGGTCCGCCGCTGCGTGGACGCCGTGAACTTCGTGGCCGAGAGCACGCGAGAGCAGGAAGCCACGGGCGAGGTGGGTGCGGCGGGGGCGGCGGCCCGGGAGCCCCGCCTCCGTGCCCGCTGCCAGCCGCCGTCTCTCCCAGGAGCTGTCCCACTGGGTGAGGATGGGCAAGGCCCTGGACAACATCTGCTTCTGGGCAGCGCTGGTGCTCTTCAGCGTCGGCTCCACCGTCATCTTCCTCGGCGGTTACTTCAACCAAGTTCCCGACCTCCCCTACCCGCCGTGCATCCGACCATGAGCCTGTGCCACCCCCCCCCCCCCCCCCCCCCCCAAGACAGGCCGTGACAATAAACGTGTTGCGTGGACCTGCGTGTGGCGTGCGGCCGGCTCCCCGGCGGCAGGGTGCTGCCACCTCGGCCCCTTCGCTATGTTGATAGCGAGTCCGGCCGGTCCCCCAGTCAGGACCGAGGACGGCCTGGCCCGGCCCCACCCCCCTGACTTGTCCGAGCCCTGGCCTCCACCCTCTGCATTCCCGCTCGGCCTGAGAGCAAGCGATGGCGGGATCTCAGCACGGTGGGCGCTGGTTGAATCGTCTTTATTAACAAACGGGATGTCCAAGGCCACTACATGGAGAAAGGGCACAGGAGCGAGGGCTACTTGCTGCTCACACTATGTACAGATGCAAGCGAGGGAGCACGGAGGCGGCGGCTCTCCCTCTAGGGAAAGGAGAGGCCAGAGGGGAGGGTGGAGGGAGGAATGTTTGGCTGTGGGGTCCCTCCTCCCTTCCCTGGGGCCTGGGGGGCGGGGAGTCATTAAAGTGCTTTCAGAAAATGAGGAAATGGTCCCTGCCCCTGGAGTGGCTGGTGACCCCCCCAGAACCCAGGGCCTAGCGAACAACCCCCCCAAGAGTCTGGTACATTCAAGGGGGGAGCCGGCTCCCCTGGCGTGCAAATAAAGGGGTACAGGGCCCTGCTCAGTCAGCAGCAACGGGGCAAGGGGCGCGAGCCCCAGAACTCTCCTGAGTGGAGAGAAGGGGAGGGGCGAGGCCCGCTCAATTCCTGGCTGGGGGACCCTGGGCCTTTCCCCTGAGGTTGGGGAGGCACAGTTTTGAGAACACGTTGGGAGAAAGGATGGTCACGTGATCACAAAAGCTTCAGGGAGCAGAGGTCACGTCCCCAGCAGGCTCCAGTGAATCAAACCAGTAAAAAGCAAAAGCCGGGGGAGGGCGGGGCTGGGCGAGGCGGCCTGGGTAGTCTGGCTGTGGGACAGGGCTGGGTCCATGTGGGATGAGAGAGATGGGCCCGGCTAGGACCTCATCACCAGTTCATGATGCAGTTCCGGTTCAGGGTCATAAAGTAAACTTGGCTGCTTCCCCCAGAGCGGACTGAGGCGAAGAACACCTGGATGAGGCAGAGAAGGCGGCCCCAAAGACTAGAGTGTGCACGTGCTGGGGGAGGGGTCGCCGCTGGGAGAGGCCCGGTCCGGGCCGGAGGGCCCTTCCGCCCGACCCCGCGCAGCCGGGCCCCGCCTCACCTTGTCGTTGCGCTCGCACAGGAACTTGAGCCTCTGGGCCCGCTTGTGCATGAAGACGCCGTCCAGGTGGCCCGTCTCCACGGAGCGGATCTCGATGGCTTTCTCTCCCCAGCCCATGATCTGGTTGGAGCAGATGTAGGCTGCGGGGAGAGGACGGCGGGGCTGGAGGGAGGCCGCGGCGGGCGCCTCGGCACCGCGGCGCGGCCCCCACTCACCGACAGAGGTGGGCATCTCCCCCCACTGCAGCACCACGTCCTTGATGATGCGCCCGTACGTGTTCACGTACACGCCCTCGTCCTCGTAGCACAGCAGCATCTCCATGCCGTCGGTGTTGGGGAGGAAGATGATGGCGTGGGGCGTGATCTGGCTCTGGATCTAGGAGGGAAGGGCGGCTCTTCACGTCCCCGGCCCCGCCCCCGGCCGCCCCGCCCCGCCCCGCGGCCCCGCCCCCGCCGCGCTCACGTGCACCGGGATGTAGACGTCGTAGCTGTTCCCGGAGTCCACGTCCACGGCGTGGAAGCCGGCGCTGGAGCCGTAGATGACCTTGAGCCGCTGCCCCTCCTCCACCGTCAGGTCCACCAGCAGGGGCCGGTGAGGCAGGTCGGCGAAGGACTGCGGAGGACACGCACGCGGCTCAGCGGGGGGGGGGGGGGGGGGGGGGGGGCGGGCCTGCGCGGGGCCGCGGACAGACGCCGGGATTACCTTGAAGGCCATGAACTTGTGGTAGGGTTTGGGGGCCCAGGCGTACACCTCCACCGAGCTCTTGAGGGCGATGACCAGGAACTTGATGCGCTCGTACTTGACTGCGGGCGGGAGGGGACGCCGTGACTCGGCGGTCCGCGCCCCCGCCTCTCCCGCCCGCCGGGCGCGTCCTCACCGACGCGGTAGTGGCCGCAGCCCTCCATGTCGCCCACGGTGGTCCAGCCCTGCTTCTTCTCCACCTCGGGGTCGTTGTGCAGAATCTTGTTCCGAAGCCAGGACAGGTAATAGACCCGCAGTTTGTTCCTCTTCCCTGAGGGGGAGACGGGCGGGCATGAGCGGCGCCCCCGCACGCGCAGGGCCCGGCGCCCCCGGCGCGCACCTGAGATGGTGATGAGCAGGTTGAGGCCCTCCAGCACGTCCATCTGCTGGAAGCGCCGCCGCCCGATCAGCCCGTACACCTTGCCCTGGCCGCTGCGGTCCAGCAGCATCAGCCCGTTCTCCGTGCCCACCAGCAGGTTGACCCCTGCAACGGGAGAGTCCTCGCCGTCAGCGGCGGAGCGCGGGCTCCCGACCGCACCCCGGAGGCCGCACCCGGCCCTGCCTCACCCCAGAGGGCGGCGCACAGGATCTCCGAGTTGAATCGCTTCTTGTACTTCCGGATCTCGGGCGTCTCACTGTGCGCTCGGGTGTTGGTAGGGTTGACGTTGACCACGGAGCCCTTCCTCACGTCGAACTGCAGCTGGTCGAGGCGGCCGCCCTCTCCACCCACCAGGGCTGCCAGGGAGGAGGGAGAGGAGGGAGGGCGGGCTACGGCCCTTCGCTGTCTTTTGCGTTCGTACGCCCTACAGCCGACCCTGATACACCGGAACACCCAGGAGGAAGGCAGGTGCGTGACCCGGCCCCGCCTACCTGCCGCTCAGCCCCCAACCTGTGCCCAGCAACCTCAGCCACTGTGCGGGGACCCCCCACCTGTTACCCTGCTTGGGCAGGGGCCAGCAGAGGGCATCAGACCCCTGGCGGGAGCAGCCGGGAGGCATGCTGGGAACCACGCTGGGCTCTCTCTCAGCCCCTCCACACAGCTGCGTCCTCAGAGAGCTCCTGCCCGGCCTAGCGCTGGCCTCCAGCCTCCCGGTGGGCACCGTCCTCACCTGTGACGGGGATGGCATCCCCAGTGCCTCCGGGCTGGTAGAGCCCCAGATCCACAAACATGGTGAACGAGCTCTTCCCGGAGGCCTTTACCAGCCCACGAGACTGGTACTGTGGGGGAGGGGAGGGAACCGTCACACACTGCGGCTCTGTCCTGTGGCCCCTGTCCCTCGGGCCCACTGAGTCGTTCGCCATGCCTCAAGTCCCCCATCAGCGCTCCTAGCACCCCAGGGTCCTCCCATCCCGGCCACTTACGTCGCTGCCTCCATCTTTCGCTGGAGGGCTTTGGCCTTTGCTGTTCTCGGTTGGGGAGTGGCTGGGCTGGACCACATCTGGCAGGTTTGTGTAGCCATTGCTGTCGGCGAGCAGCAGGCTTCGCTCCTCTTCAGGGGTCTGTGGAGCAGAGGGTGTCGGGAGCTGCAGCAGGCTCGCGGTGGGGAAGGGTGGGGGCGGCCGGGAGAGCAACTCACGCGCTGGACCAGCATGGTGCCGCCCCCATACGGGGGCTGGGTCCCGGCTATCTCCTCAACATCGTGGACCACCATGGTGCTGACACTGTCCGTATCGCCGTCACTGCTGTGGGAAAGAGGAAGGTGGGGCCTTCCAGGTCCTGCCTGCCACACAGGGCACAGGACAGGGCCCACGCTGCCAGGCAGCGGAAGAGGCGGGAGCCACACTCGCCCTGTTCCCTCGACCCGGCCTGGCCCCTCTCCCTCCTTCCCTGCAGCTTACCGGCCCCCGGGAGTGTCTCTGCTCCCCTCGGACGGCTCCCCGTCGCCTTCCTCCTCCTCCTCGTCACTGCTCTCCCCCTCCTCACTGGACGAGGAGTAATCCATGGCCTTCTTGGGCGGTCGAGGGACCTCGTCCAGGGTCCGCTCTTTGAGCAACACAAAATCCTGCAGGGAGAAGCACCGTCAGGAGACAGTGGGGAGACAGACAGGGGGGGGGGGGCACCTGACGGCGGGGCTCTCACTGACCTCACCAATCGCCCGCTTATAGCTCTGGGAGGGGCCGCGGAGGAGGGAAGGCAGCCAGGAGGAGGCAGGAGAGACAGAAAGGTTAGTACTGCGAGGTGTCTGCCCAGCCCTCACGTTAGGGAAAGCTCCGGCCCGTCCCAGTGCCCAGGAAGGTGCCACACCCTGCCCGCTCACTCACTGCAGGCCGGCCTGGCCGGGAGCGGTGGTCCTCAGGTTTGGCTTTGCTCCCAGGGGAGAGCACTGGGGGGCCGTCCAGTTTTGTGGAGGCTGGCCGTGGCAGGTGGGGGAAGAGAGTCAGATACCCACAGTGTGGCCAGGCCGAGCGGGGCCCGCACCCAGCCGCACCCTGCGCTCCCTGTGATGTGCGGGGCCGGGTGCCGCGGCCACCGAGACACTCAGGGCTGCCGTACCTGCTACCCGGTTCCGGTTGCGCTCCAGTGAGCCGGCCTGAGGGAGGTGTCCGTGAGCGGCCGGGAGGACGCTGTCAGTGCGCTCCCAGCCGGGGTCACTCCTCCTGAGGTCGGGGTTACTGTGGAGGGGCAGAGTGCACGTCAGGCGCCTGCGCCCACCCATGGGTGCCGCGCCGCGCCGCAGGAGCCGTCGCCAGAGAAGCGGGTGGCGCAGGTCAGAGTGCCAGTGAGTGGGGACAACTCCATTACCTAGAGGCGCTGGGCGGGCCAGGGGGCTGAGCGGGGGGCCTGGGAGGCTGGGGGGCGCCCCGCTCTGCCCGCCTCTGCAGATAGATTTGCCAGGCGGAGTTGCTGCGAGGTCTGTGGAGGGCGCACAGGGGCTGAGGAGCCTGCTGGGCCTGCCCACCCCTCTGCAGGTGACCGGGTGGGGTCCCTAAGTCTCCCACTCCCTAGGCGGCCCCACGACCCCACCCGGGTTGTGTACCTGGCACGGACAGCCTGAGCCGGCCGGGACCCTCCTCCGGCCCCGCTGGTGTTAAGGGCAGTGGCGATAGACGAGGTCCTCTGAGGAACCTGGAGGGAAAGAGCAGTGACCCGCCCTGCCCGTGTGCCGCACGCCCCGAAGCCTTCAGCACTCATGGAGAAACAAACGGGGTGGCCGTTCCTCCCTCCCAGTCACTGCCAACCCCCTTTTCTTAAGACTTGTTCATTATGCAGTGTTCTGCCTGCATGTGTGCCTGTGGGCCAGCAGAGGGCGCCAGGTCGCACTGTCGGTGGCTGCGGGCCACTGTGTGGGTGCCAGGAATAGGACTCGGGACCTCTGGAAGGGCAGAGTGGCCCCCGGCTGCTGACCCTTGCAGGGCAGGGTCCCTGGGCTGCCGTGCTTCCCTGTCTCCCTCCACTTTGTAGTCCCTTGGGCTGCACTCACCTTGGGTGGAGCCTCACTGTCAGGCCGGACCCAGGATGGGGGGGTGGGGCTGGGACCAGGCCCTTCAGAGGTGGGGTCTGAATTCTGGCGGATGACAGCTCCCCGGGCGCTGGGCACAGCGGCGGGCGTGGGGGCGGCAGCAGGGTCAGGGTCTTGGGAGGCTGGGAAGGCTGCCAGGTTTCGTGTGGGCTGGTCCTGCAGGGACTGGGATCGGGGTACAGGTGCTGCATATGGCTTCAGTGGGACCCGGTGGGCTACCAGGCTCTGCGGGCAGAGAGCAGAGAGGGCGGGCGCCTGCTTTGTGGCACATCATGCAAGCTGGGGTCCGGGCTGAGCAAAGTCCCCTCTCCCATCAAAGGAAAAGGTTTTGTCTCTCCTTTAAGGGCTGATTACACACAGTGTTCTGCTGCATGTGTGCGTGCACGCCAGCAGAGGGCGCCAGCTCTCACTCTGGGTGGCTGTGCGCCACCATGTGGGTGCGGGGAATTGACTGCAGAGCAGTGGTGCTCTTGACCTCCGAGCCACCTCTCCCACCCAGACAAGGGGTTTTCTAAAGCTGGAGAAGAGCAGCAGTCGACAGCACAGGGCTGTGCTCTGTGTGTCCACAGACACCGAACATGCGTGTGCTCAGAACGAAGCTCTGCACCACGTTCTAAGCCAAGCACTACGTCTGTCTTAGGACCGGAAGGGAACAGACTCACCTTGTGTGCTCCCTCTTGAGGCTCCACAGGCCTCTGCATAGGAGGAGTTTGGGAAAGCGGCCCCGGGGGGCTAGGAGAGGCCTGGGAGACGGGGGGCTCCGGGCCTGCGCTGCTTGGCTTGGTCTTGGCCAAGGGAGAGCTCTGCTGCTTATTCAGCCTTGCTCTCTCTTCCACCTGTGGTGTGAGAGGCCGTCAGGAGCCAGTGTGCCTGCTCTCACACTGTGCCCCCCCCCCCCCCCCCCCGCCTGCTGCGATCATCCCAGCCCTTCTCAGCGCCCACCTAGGAGCCCGGGTTCCCAGCCCCGCCCTCAGGCGATCAGACTGGGGGGCTGGCCCCGGGCAGACAGAGGAGGCGGAGTACCTCTCGGGCCCAAGCTGGCTTGTCAGCAGGATTAATGCCCCGGCCATAATGATACAGGGGCTTCCTGTCCCCAGGCAGGATCTGCTGCTGCTGCTGCTGCTGCTGCTGCTGCTGCTGCTGCTGCTGCTTCTGGAGCTGCTGCTGCTGCTGCTGCTGCAGGGACTTGAGGTAGGCGTGCTCCTGCTGCAGCTGTCTCTGCAGCCGCTCGGACTGCCGCTGCTCCTCCAGCTGCTTCCGCTTGTATTCCTGGGCCCAAGGGTAGGGAGAGAGGGCTCAGCGGAGTGTGGCCCTCCGGTCAGAGCAGGTGTGCCCTTCCTGTCCTCGGCTGCCTAGACAGGCGCTGCGTCCCTGGCCTCTTGAGGCCCCGTGCCCTGGCGTGCCCCATCCCAGTGGAGAACAGCAGCTCAGGATGGCATCTTCCCTCGGACACCCGGGGACCCGTTACCAGCAGCAGGGCCTGTTCCTGGAGCAGCTGTTGCTGAAGGATCTCGAGCTGTCGCTGCTCCTCCTCTAGCCTGTGACGGATATATTGCTGGGGGGGGGGGGGCACGGGGCAGGGAGAGAGGGAGGCGGCAGGGGGTGGCAGCAGCGGCACAGGAAGGTCAGCAGAGTGAGGATGAGGGGGACGGGCAGATGAGCCGGTGGGGGGCACCGGGGCACAGATGGGGTGAGAGGGCACGGGGTGAGAAGGAAATCAGGAAGGAATGTGAGGAACAGTTCCCCAGGGAGGAATCAGGGCGGGCAGAGAGATGGGGATGGAGACAGGGCAGGAGCAGGGTGGGGTTGAGGGTAGGAGAAAACAGAGAAAGAGTGAAGCTAGAAAAGATAGAGGAACCTAGGGCCGGGGAGCGAGGGGAGAGGGGGCCGGGGAGCAGGGGAGGCAGGAGCAGGGTGCGCACTGGCCCGGGTACCTGCTCGCGCTCGGCCTGCCGCCTCTCCTCCTCGCGCCGCAGGGCCTGCCGGTCCTCCAGCCGCCGCTGCTCCTTCTCCTGCAGCTTCCGTTGCTCCCGCTCGCGCCGCTGTTGCTGCGGAAGGGGGTGGGCTGTGTGAGGGACGAGCAGGTGCTAGCACCCCTCCACGAAGAGCAGGGGGTGTTTGCAGAGACGGCACCGGGCCCAGAGCTCAGTCAGAACAGTGTGAGGGAGCTGCGGGCACAGGGCAGGCAGCAGGCTGCTCTCGGAGTGGGCTGAGCACGGCACCTCCCTCTTCCTGCTGCCCCCTGTACTGGCTAGTTTTGTCAACGTGACAGGCTACTGTCATTTTGGGAAAGGGACCCCAAAGTGAGAAAATGCCCCAAGAGATTAGCGGTGCATTTTCTTGACTGATGACTGACTGATGGCCCACTGCGGGTGGAGACAGCCTTGGACTGGGGGTCCTGAGCGCTGTAAGGAACAGGCCAAGCAGGCCATGAGGAGCAGTGCCAGTGAGCAGTGTTCCTCTGGGCATCTGTCAGCTCCTACCCCTTCCTTCAGTGACCAACTATGTGCAGCATAAGCAAAATAAACCCTTTCCTCTCCGAGTTGCTTTTGGTCGTGGTGTGTCGTCCTAGCAGTTGAGAGCGTGGGTCAGCACCACATGAAAAAACAGGTGCAACAACAGCAACCTGCTAAGGAAGGAGCCTTGCACCCCAGGCTTTGCCCTGAATGCTGAGACAGTAGCAACTTTTGGCCAACAGGGGGCACTAGGTGCCCGTGGCAGAGAAAAGCAACCTTTGGCTTTAGGGAACCACCTTCACCATCAGTAGCCAGGATGCACAGGACATTCTTTCTGGCCACTGTCTGCCCATCCCATACAACAGCGACGACAAAAAATGGCCAAGACCAAGCCTCCGGGCCTTCACACTCGGAAGAGCCCCCCGCGCTCAGGCTGGCCAGGCTGCTATCACTTGCCACTACAACGGCAAAAGGCTGTGGCCCGCTTTCTTGAAAATTTCTTGTAATCCCGGAGAACGGGTTACTCTGAGGAGAGGCAGACAGTGCAGACGCTGGCGCTGGCGCTGCTGCCCCAGACAGCAGAGAACCTGCTGCTGAGTTACGAATATCTCCTTCTCCACCAGCAAGCACACTTACACACGAGATCAAGCTCAAGAACCTCCCAGATGGCAGGCTGTGTCCCCAGCCCACAACCTCCTTCTTCTGAGACAAGGCCTCAGCCTATAAACCTGCTTTGTAGCTGAGGCTGAGCTAGAACTTCTCATCTTCCTGCCTCCTCCTGAGCTGTGGCCACAAGCGTGGACTCCTGCAGCAGGTTCATGTAGTGCTGGGGCTGAACCTGGGGCCTCAGGAGTGTCAGGCAAGCCCTCCAGCGACTAGCCACACTCCCAGAGCTTTCTGGTTTAGGCTGGCCTGGACTTCCTCATCTCCCTGACTCTCCCTCCCCAAGCTGGCAGGAGTGCAGGAGAAAGCTACCGTAGCTAGCTGTGATGTCTCAGTAGTAACGCAACGACGGGAAACTGTCCTGGCATCTGAGGGGCCAACTAAAATGACCTCCTTCAACCAGTCCAAAACAGAAAGACTGCACTTCATAAGAAAAAAATCAAAAGAATCAAAGAACAAGACAGGTGCCCCCAGCCTTTCTGTCTGAGGCCGGCCAGCTGTACAACGCCCGTGGACACAGGCCTGCAGCTGGCCGGGACTGCGGCGGAGCGAGCGGAGAAGCCCCAAACACAAGCCTGGACAGAAACAGTGTTTTCACGGCAACTTCCCGCTGCTTCACAGCGGCTCCGCTGACAGGACAGGACGGCAGTGCTCTCCCTCCTGCCCGCCAGGCCCCGCGGCGGCCCAGGCAGGGGGCACCCACCTCCTCCACGCGCCTCCGCTCCTCCTTCTGCTCCTCGATGCGGCGCTGCCTCTGGTGCAGCAGCTGTTTGATGTGCGCCTCGGGGTCCCGCTGCTGCTGCTGCTGCAGCTGCTGCTGCTGCTTTAGAGCCTCGGAGTTGCTCTTGTTCTCCTGCTGCAGGCGGAGGAACTCTCGGCGCAGGGTGGACTCCCCGGGCACGTTCATGATGGAGCTGCACGGTGGTGGCATATGGCACAGAGGTCAGGTCGGGACTGGCTGGTGGGCCTCATCCCTGGGCAGCCTGCCCACGGGCACCCCAACTGTCCCGGACATTCTGCCCATGGCCAATGCCGGGGGGGGGGGGGCAGCAGGTCTGTGTCCTCTCTGTCCCTCTCCCCTGTTCTGAGGCAGGGCCTGGATTGCGTAGCCCAGACTGGCCTGGAACTGTGTCAGTCCAGAGCCGGGCTTAGAGGTGTGCATCCTCACGCCAGGCTCCCGCCCACACTCCTGTCGGCCCAAGTCAACCTACTCTCCACCGTCCATCCGTCCAGCCTTTATCCTGCAGGGGCTCTTATTTGCTGTGCATGTGCACGCATGCTTCTATGTGGCACAGTGGGCATGGCTGAGCATTAAGCATGCAGGTGCAGGTCAGAGGACAACTCGGAAGAGTTGTCTCCTTTTAGCCTGTGCGTGCCGGGAACTAAACTCGGGTCATGACACTTGGACAGGGGCCAGACTTGGTCACACAAGCGGCTGGCTCTACACGGTGTCACCGTGAGTGCCTACGGCACTCAGCGCTGCCCCTCCAGACAGAGGGCCCCCTCCCACCCCTGCAGCCACACCCACCTCGGCTCGCCCTCATCCCCATGGCTGTCGTCTTCCTCTTCGCTGCCGCTGTACTCGTACTCTGTCTCTTCTGCAAAGGAGATGCCACTGCTGCTTGCTCAGCCTCGGCCCAGACTCCACCGGGCAGGAGGCCTTGGCTGCAGCACCCTTCCAGTCTGTGTGCGCAGCCCTGCCTTGGAGCTGCAGGCTTGGGAGGGGGCTCCTTGGGCAGGGCGGCTCAGGTAAGGGAGGGCTGCAAGGCCAGGTCCAATGTCCTCCTGGCCAGAGCGGGGACGGGGAGACCCTCTGCGCCCACCCGTCCACTGACCTTTCTCACCCCGCTTCTTCCGGGAGCGGTCGATGTGGTCCTTGAGCTGGATGCGGACCTGGCGCTCCGTGGGCTGGTCTCGGATAAAGGGGAACTTGAGCAATTGCTCGGTTGGCGGGCGGCTCAGGTAGGTCTTGATGAGACATGTGTCAATGAAGTCCGTGAACTTCTTGGACCTGGGGACAGTTGGTGGCTCACAGCGGGCCCCTCAGACAGGGAAGGCACAGGAAGGAGCCGGTGGGCCACCCATCTCTAAGCAATTTCCTCCTGGCTGTCCCAACCCCAACCCCAGAGGCTTCCTCCAGTGCCCACCCCTCTTCTGTGCCCCCAGAGCCCGGTCACCAACAAGCGGCTCTCAGAACCCTCCAGAGTCCAGGCTGAGAGCACCCGGGGACGTACCATTTCTTTGACTTGAGCCTGGGGGGAGGGTTCCGAGGGATGAGGAAGAGAGCCCGCATGGGGTGCATGTCACACAGAGCTGGGACACAGAAGGCATGTCGTCACCGCTCTGTGCCAGGAGAGGCCGCAGAGCCGCCTCCTCCCTGCCCTCCCCCCTGCCCTCCCCCAAGGCTGATGAGCACTTACGGGGGGCCCCCTCTGCCATTTCGATGGCTGTGATTCCTAGAGACCAAATGTCACTCTAAGGAAGGAAAGAAGGGACAGGTGTCAGCACCCTGACAGCACTGCACAGCACTGCCTCAGCCAGCAGCCCCCCCCCCCCCCCCCCCCCCCCCCCCCCCCCCCCCCCCCCCCCC